GTTTTCAGATTATTAAAAAAAAAAAACTGGTTGCCATTTTTTTTTTACCAGTGTCTCTGATTTAGCCACTCATGTCTCCCGAGAATTCCTAAACTGGTTGAATGAATAGGGTAATGTGGTAAATGCTTCACTATAAAATGATTTGATTCCAGGAGAATCTCATTAGGGATAAGAATATGCTAGGGATCATTAATATTTTGATTTGTGTTTTCTGAAATTGGATTTTATCTTATAATTTCAGATCACCTAAATTTTGTGTTTTGTATATGTGATGTTTGACTGTTCCATTGACTGTTATAGAAGCAGTGTTTGATACTTCTCTACACTGTGATACACTTGTGGGTTTTTTAAACTAAAAATGTAAAATAAAGACTTTTGACATTCTATAGGGATTTAATGTTTAGCATATCACCAATTGTTGGAAAATACCTGGTCCATGTTATGTCTAAGGTGTTTGATATTCAGACAGACAGTGATGTTAAGTCCAGATGCCTCTGTTACACAGCAATAATATCATTAAGCTTCTCTTCTGGAGGGTAAACAACTTAAGTTAGCAGACCAAAAATTAGAGAAAAAGAAGGGCTGCAAGGATAGCCAACATTTTGGCCCTAGCTTGAAGGTCAGTGAAGACTCAGGACATTGGAGAACCTGTACTGTAACGTTCTGTAACTCAGTGGTGTCCCAAACTTTCTGATCAAGGAGATTATGGGGCCACAGAGGATAGTGATCAATGATGTAGCTTGTGCCTAAGAGAGTCACATGGAGAGAAAACATTCTCTCAGGCTTTCACAGAGAGCAAATTGTCCAAGCAGACTCATTCACATGGCTGACACTGACAGAGGATCTACAATCTGAGGTACAGGATCTCAGGATAAATCCTGAGGGGATTTGACTGACCTTATCAGATACAAAAGTTATATTTCTTGTTATATAGGTCTTATTTTATCTTAGTCTTAGCCATCCAGCGGTCAAGAGTATAAACACGAGGTATAAAAAGTACAGTCATATTAATATGCTGAGCTGTAAAGGCTCAAGTCAGCAACTTCTGACACTGCCAGTTCTGTGGATAACCCACTACTATTATGGACTATTGGACTATATTGGATTATTTTACTCAATTTTACTGAATTCCCGCACCTACAATGTTTGAATGGTAATGGACAAAAGTAAACAAAAAAGAGGGATATAAATGAAGGACCATTTTGTAGTGAAAAAATATATACATATATGTATATACAAAGTAGTTAGGATAGATACACTGCCACTTTCTCTTAGTTCAATGAGAAAGATTTATACTAATAGTGTTTAGACAAGATACCATGTCTACATCTTGTACTATGAATAACTACTTCAAAGACAACAATATGGAATGTATTAATTATTGTAACTGTCTTACGAGCCTGTCTCGAAACTGTCTCATTGCTATTTCTTTCTCGATAAAATTAATTAGAAAAGAAAAAAAGACTTTTGAAGAATTGAAAAAATAACACAAAAGATATTATGAAATGTTAAGAAACTGTTCAAAAGGAAAGAAAAAGTGGGATGGGGAAAGGAAAAGAAAAAAAATATATATATATAACAGTACTTAAGATCCTTATACTAATTGCTATTAGTTCATTGATAAGAAAGATTTGTGCCCCATATTAATTTTTATGCCCATATCATGTAATATGAACTGAACTGTATATCTTCAGTTAGCTTGAAGATAACAGTGCACAACGTACCTAACCCTTGTTACTCTCCTATAATCTTGTTTTGAAATTTTGTACCATTTTTTTCTTTTTTTTCTTTATTTTTTTTTGACATCAGTTATTTTTATTTTAAAGAAAAAAAATAAAAACAAAGGTACAAAAATCTCAAAACAAGATTTTAGGAGAGTAATAATGGTTAGTGCATTGTGTATTGTTACTGCCAAAGTAGTTTCTCATATTACAAGATATAGGCAAGAAATAATAAATAAACAACATAGGTACAAACCTCTGTTTTTTGTTTTTTTTT